CCTGCCCGGAGTGGGATTTGACCTGCAGTGCCCTGGTCCACCAACACAACCCCACAAACCCTCACACCTGGCGGGCCCAGCTCCGTCTGCAACCAGAGCTGGGGCCACATCCTGCACCATCCCCAGGCACTCTGGGACACAGGGGACCGAAAACATTCCCTTGAGGTCTCCCAGAGATCTCTCCCTCCCTCACCCCCACCTTTGGGGTCTCACCTGACCGTTTCCTCTCAGTCGCCCCCTCCTCCACTGCCAAGGGGCACGTGTCACTCTGGGTGCTGTTCCGGGGCGAGTTCTCCTCGGATTTGCCGTAGGTGGGCGAGTCCAGCGGGGCCGGACGGGGTATATGCTTCTTCTTCTTCTTTGGCAGCTTCTGCTTGGCCATGGCCAGCGAATAGTACATCCCAAAGTTATTGACGATGACSGGCACGGGCATGGCGATGGTCAGCACCCCGGCCAGGGCRCACAGGGCRCCCACCACCATCCCCGACCAGGTTTTGGGGTACATGTCGCCGTAGCCCAGCGTGGTCATGGTGACCACGGCCCACCAGAAGCCGATGGGGATGTTCTTAAAGTGAGTGTGGTCGCTGCCGGTGGGGTCGGACGTCTTGGCCCCGATCCGCTCGGCGTAGTAGATCATGGTGGCGAAAATCAAGACCCCCAAGGCGAGGAAGATGATGAGGAGCAGGAATTCGTTGGTGCTGGCCCGGAGAGTGTGGCCCAGCACCCGCAGACCCACAAAGTGCCGCGTCAGCTTGAAGATGCGGAGGATGCGGACGAAGCGCACCACCCGCAGGAAACCCAGCACGTCCCGGGCGGCTTTGGAGGACAGGCCACTGAGACCCACCTCCAGGTAGAAGGGCAAGATGGCCACGAAGTCAATGATGTTGAGGAGGTTTTTAACGAAGAGAAGCTTATCCGGGCAGCAGATGATGCGAACCAGGAACTCGAGGGTGAACCAGAGCACGCAGACCCCTTCGATGTAGGTGAGGATGGGCTCCGTCTCCACCTTGTGCGTCAGCAGCACCGTCGTGGTGTTGCCAACCACCAGCGTCTCCGTCACGTTGACGTCGATGTTGAAGGCCTCGTGCGTCTCCAGGCAGAAGGTGGTGATGGAGACCAGGATGAAGAACAGCGAGGCGAAAGCCACCACCTGCCAAAGGGGAGATTACACAAACTGTGAGCTGATGTGGGGCAGCCTCGGCTGTCTGGAGGAGCTCAAAACACCCCAGATGCTGCCACCCACCGCCCCAAGAGCAAGAGTGGAGAATGGGGAGGGGTCCCTGGGCCTGTGTCATGAGTTGGCAGTGAACCTCAGGGGCCATCAGTGCAGAGCCTTTCTCCAGGTGCTGGGTGCTTTCTCTCTCACATCAGAGGAGGTGTGCTGGGCTCCAGCTGTGCCTGGAATGGCTGTGCTGGGGGTGATGGGGAACTGGGACAGCCTGGGGTTGGAGCAATCTTGCACTGGGAACAGACATGGAAAGGGAATTCTGATGGGACAAATTCAAAGAGCTTTCCCCCAAATTCATCACTTTCCCCCAAATTCATCACAACCCCCTCCAGGGTTCACGCTGTTCCCAGCCATCACATTTGGGGTGGGTTTGGATGAGTCAGAGACGTCCTCCCTGAGGGTCAGTGGTGAGTGATGTGCCCACAGAAGGTCCAGGACTCAGAGGGCAGAGTGAGGAGAGGAGCAGGCAGAGCTCAGCCTCCTGGTGATGCCTGCACTGGTGACACCTGGATGTTCCCATTTCTCCGCTCTGCCCGAGCAGTGAGACCTTTGTCCCCTCCCTGTCACCTCCTCCTCCTCCCTCGTGCTCATTTCAGATATAAGCAAGGAGTGGCCAAGAGCAGGCACTGGAGGTCACAGGCTGTGCCACAAAGGACCACCTTGCTGTGCTCCCATCCACCCTGCTCAGCTCCCTCCCTCCTTCAGGGTGAACTCATTACCTGGAGCATTCCTTTCCAAGAGCTCCCTTCCCCCCCCAAAAAAAGCCTCTGAGCAGAAAAATTCTTGTTGTCCCTTTCTCCAGCACAAAAGCGTGGTGGCTTCAGCATCCCCASAGCAGATCCTGGCACAGCCCCTGCACTGGGCAGGCTGTGCAGATCCTCGGCTGGAGTGAATCAGCAGCACAGCCAGCCTGAGTCACTCTAGAGAAACACCCGGCCCTGGACAGCGCCGGTGCCTGCCAGGAGCATCCTCGAGGGGTGTCCCCAAGGGCAGACATGTGTGGGTTTGGCACAGCCAGCACCAGCCCTCCCAGAGTTTGGGGTGAMGTTTAAATTAGGCATTAATTGATGGAGAGACCTCTGGAAGAGGATTCTCCTGCCCCAGGGAGAGACACCTGCTTGGGGCTGGGATGAGGGGCTCCTCACCCTCAATCAAACCTCTCAATCCACGCACTGGGATGTGGCTCCCAAGGCTGATCAGCCACATGTGATTTGGGAAGCAAATCCTACAAAAAGCGGGATCTTAAAGCAAGGCCAGCTCGAGCAGACGAGTGTCTCTACACAGCGGTGGCACAGCCAAAATAATCTGCTTTTCAGCTCAGGGCTGAGTCACGTTCCTGAGCTTCCCTGCATGGGGAATCTTGGGAAAACCTGAAGAGTAAAAATTGAGACTTAAAGCAAAGTAGGAAGGAAAAAAATCACCCAGGAAGGGAGTGAGACCGTGCAAACACTGGGGTAATGGAGCTGCTGTTGAGTGTGAGGTGAGACCTGATTTAGCCCAAGGAGCAAAATCAGCCTCTAAAAATAGAAGAGTCGGGTTCACAGCCAGTGCCAACCGTCGTGTCCCCTCCAGAGTGCTGCTCCAGTTCTGTGTCTGACCCAAGACATCTCACCTCAGCTTCAGTCTCTGCTCCAAACACAAGTTCTCTTCCAAAAATGTCCTTAGAATAAACTAAATTTGATGTATAAACACAGTGCTACCAATACACACCAGAGCTCCCATCAAACAAGTTCTCCAGAACCTCTTGATGTTCTACACAATTTCAACTGCACTCAACAGCTTGAGATGGGCATTCCCAAAAATCCTACACGGGGTCACGAGCCTGGAAGTGCCCATGGGAGTGAGGTCAGGACTCCTCAAATTGGGCTGCAAAGGGGAAAATTCATGAGGAGCTGCAAGTAAGAAGAGTTTGGAAAAAAAAAAGAGGTAAAATCACAGCCAGGGAAGTTTCCTGTGTGKAGGAAAAGTGTTAAACTCCAGCTGGGACAGCAATTGCACCAGGGAGCAAATATTCCCTGAGTGGACAGGACTGAGGAGCCAGGGATCCCGTGGGCATCGATGGCACAYGGGAAAGACACTGAAAACGCGGGTGAGATTTCCAACCACGTGCTTGCACRGCTGCCAGCTCAGGAGGAGAAGTGCAGGAGGGAGGCAAAGACGGAAATAACCRGGAGCCAACTGAGTCAGGGCCCGAGGGGCTGCTCCACGGAGAGGAGGAGTGAGGACCAGAGAAATTCAGCTCTYGAGGCTCTTAGTCAGAGCTGCCACACGGAGAGGGACAGAGTTTACAYGGGCAGCCCAGAGCTGCTGCTTCCCAAGGTTTGGGAACGCACCTTGGACTGCTCCAGCACATTCCCACAGCYAGCAGTGCCCCTTTGGCTCTGGACAGGTAGGGCGAGACCCCAAAATGGGGCAGTATTAAAGAAATCCCAACCACTGCAAACCTCAACCATCCCAAAACGCCAGGAGTGAATTTGGGGAGGGAATTTTGACGGGACAAATTCAAAGAATTTTCCCCCACATTCATCACAAACCCCTCCAGATGCCGGGTTCATGCTGTTCCCAGCCATCAGCTTTGGGGTCTGGAGGTGTCAGAGTCCTCCATGGGGCACCTGTTGTGCCTGCAGAGATGCTCATGAGTTCTGCAGCATCCTGGTGCAGGATGGTGGCTGCAGCCAGGAACTGGGTGCACTCACTTGGGCTGGTTGCATYGCTCTGTGCCTCAGTTTCCCCTGCTGCCAGAGCAGTTCTCCCAAGCTATGACAAATCTGAACTGGTATTTTTTTCCTGTTGCCTCTGGAAGTTGATGGTTCCCATGGCACTGCTGAGCTGAACATTTATCCAGCTGAACATTTATCCACATTTATCCCACTCCAGCCCCAGTCAGGCCTTGATCACAACCCTCTCTGCTCCCTCCAATACATTCCTCCTGCTAAAGCCTTTCCAGGAGCAGCTCAGCACGCAGGAAAAGAGGAACCAAGTAACACCAGGGTGGGAAAAAAAACGAGTTGAATTATTGTGCTTGGGTTTATTTTTAATTTTGTTTAATTTTTTATTTGGAGCTTTGCACTACTCAGAGMATCTCTCCGAGGCAAAGGGCCCTCAGAGATGGGCAAAGGAGTTGGGTACCCTTTCGAAATGGGTTCAGCATCCTCTGTGTGTGTGTGCTGCTCTAACATTTGCTGCAAAAACACCTCCTTGCCGAACTGACCCCTGCCCCGCTCACCGCTCGTGGGTGGGAAATGCCTGCAGAATTTCTTACCATCGATGGGCTTTTTTTACACCTCCAAACGCATCCAGAATTCATCCCAACTGCCCGTCTGTGTGTGTGCGGTGGATTTACAAGCTGGGCGTGCCAGGGGCTGGGRCTGGGTGGGCGCCGGGGGTCGGTGGGCAGCGCTTGGGGGATGCTCCGAGAAGGACCGGGAGAGGAGACACATGCGCGGAGTAGCGCCCGAGAGCCGGGCTGCGAGCCCGGAGACGCGCCTGGTTTGCAGGGGATGTGTCCCGGGTGGGTAGGGGCCTCCTGCGTGGCCGGGGAGGTGGCGGGGTCTCTCGGTGCGCACACAGCCGGGCCCGGGGCCGAGCGGGGCTGGGGCTGCGGGGCCGCGGGGCTCGGGAGTGCGGTGTGAGAGCGGCTCGGAACCCGCACATGCTGCGGGGGCGGCCCCGGCGGGACGGGGAGCAGCGGTGCACAGCACCGGGTGTGCTTTGGGGCAGAGGAGGGGCGTGAGCTGCTTGGGGACAGCCCTGAGGATCCCATATGTTGACCCCAGCCCCGACCCCCGCTCCACAGCCGGGCTGTTGAATGTGGGTTTTGGCATCGTGCAGCCCAGCCAGAGGAACCCAAACATCCTCCTATCCTAGAGTGTCCGGAAACTGTGCCAGGAGTCAGCCCTGCCAAGGACAATCCCTCATCTCCGTGTGCCCGGGAGGTGCCCGGGGAGCACTCGAGGGCGCAGAGCGGGCAGGGATTGGGCTCGCCCCCAGTTCCAGCCCAGCTCTCCCAGATGGGATGTGTTGGGAGGGGATTGGGAGCCAGTGGAAGAGGTGCCCTGTAGGATGGGAGATGGCCAATGTACCCCATTGTAGGAGGGGGACAGTTATGGGGGAGAGCTCATGTAACCCACCAGGAAAGTCAGATTTGCCCACGGGGATGGGGAGGTGAGGACAAACCCCCCAGCACGGCCCCATCCCACCTCCCCAGCGGCACCCTTCGGGAGCTTACCCTTGCCGCCTTGGACGAGTAGGGATCCTCGAAGAGCGCCCACATCTTGGGCTGCCAATTCCGGCAGCAGCCACCCCCTCCAGCAGCGCCCGCCGCCCCTGGGGGCCGGTCATCCATGCCCAGCCGCTGCAGGGCCATCTCCCTACCCCCTTCCTCTTCGGCCTCCTCTCCGCCGGCCCCTCCGCCGGGCTCGGGACTCTCGAAGATGTCCAGGGCCTCTTCAGCGTCGCGGTGCTGGCGGTAGGTCATCCAGCAGCAGGGCTCCACGTCCGTCTCATCGATGCCCCAGTAGGTCAGCTCCTCCTCGAAGAGGGGCCCGCAGATGTCCGCGGGGCAGTGCAGCTTGCCCGTGCGGTAGTAGTTGAGCACGTAGGAGAAGATCCCGGGGTGGCGGTCGAAGAAGAACTCGTTGCTTTTGCCGTCAAAGTCAAAGTTGCTCTGGGCATCGGGGTCAGCCAGCCAGGCCAGGCGGGTGCCCGGCAAAGTCCGCAGGGTGCTTTTGTAGGTCTCATGCCGAGTGCCGCCTACGTTGATGGTGATCTTGTCCGACTCTTCCCCTTTGCCCATCTCTTCCTTCAGGCATGTTTTGGAGGGTGGTTTGTTCCCAGACTTGCGTCCACGGTAGGAGGAGACACACACCGAGCTGATCATAGATTTCGGTGGATGGGAGATGCCCACTACGCGCACCCTTCCTCCGGGCGAGGAGCCGGGCTTCGGCGGAGGCGGGAGAGGGGGGCACAGATGGGACTGGGGAGGGGAAAAGGGGGGGGCTCAGGCTCGGCTCCGGCCTCGGGGGGAGCAAACTGGAGCCGCGCCGGACACCGCCGGCTGCCGGGGGACAGCAGGGGAGGCTGCAACCTCCACCCCCTCCAAAGCCACCCCCCCCAAAATAAAACCGCCCTAAACCGGGAGCCAGCCCAGCCCTGCCCGGCAGCAACAAGTGCGGGATGGAGGGGGCCGGGAGCGGGCGGGGGGGTGCGGCAGGCGCGGGGGGATGCGGGCCCGGCCGGGAGGATGCTGGCGAAGGGATGGGGGGAAGCCGAGCCCCGCCGGGCGCTGTGTCCCCCCCTCCCGGTACCTGCAGCGCCCGGCGCGGGGGGGCCCCGCCGCCCGCCCCTCCCGCTCCGGCGGCTCCGCGCTCCCTCCGCCCCCCCCGGGCCGGGCTCGGCGAGGAGGCGGCGGCCGGGGGGCTCTTCCCCGGCTCCCGGCGGGGAGAAGGGGGGATGGATGCGCCCTCTCCGCCTCCCCTCCCGCTCCCCCTCCCCGGGGGGAGCCCGTTCACGCGGGGCCGGGCCGGGGGGGCCTGTTGCGCCCCGGCGGTGCCTCCCCGCGGGGCTCGGCGCGGGGGAGGCGGCGGGAGCGGCTGCAGGGCTCGGCGGGGTTTTTATAGGGCTGAGAGCGAGCGGTGGGGTTACGGGAAGCGGCGCCGCCCCGCTGGGGGGCCGGGGACCCTCCGCCCCAGCGCCCAGCCCCGCAGTCCCCCCCGGTGCCCCCCCGGCGCTGCCCTCCCTCTCATCCCCGCATCCATCCCTCCCTCCATCCTCCCATCCCTCCATCCATCCCTTCATCCCCTCCACCCCCGGCCCAGCCCTCCGCCCACCCCCAGGTCCCCCGCGCCCCCCGGCACCGGCTCACCTCCCCGCGGGGCCCGGCGTGCCGGTGAGGGTCTCGGGGGTTCGGTGTCAGCGAGGAGTGAACCCCGGACACCCCAGCTCCGCTTCGCGCCGGAGGGGAAATGCAGCCCAGAGCTGCCTGCGGATCTGGAGCCAGCTCTTGGCAGAGGCTCCCGCAGATCCCATCCCTCCCTGGCTCGCAATCCCTCGCTCACCGAGAGGTCAGGAGAGACCGACCCCGGGGCCGGTGGGGAGCTGGGAGGCTGCACTCAGAGCTGACCCCCCCTTCCCTCCCACCACCCTCCCCGAGCATCTCTCCGCCCTGTTTCGGCTCCTGCGTGGCAGATGCCCCTTTCCCGCAGCGGCCGCCGGGGCTCGGGGTACCCACCACCCCAGCCCCCGGGTCCCCACCCCTGAGCCCCCTCCCTGGCCGCTTCCTGCACCCCCGGGGTGCTGCTGATGCTCAGCCCCGTCTCCTGGGGCTGGGGAGGAGGTGAAGACCTTCAGCACCCCAGGGCTGAGACTGTCACCCAGGGGAAGAGCCGAGGGACTCATCCTGCCCGCACTGTTTACTTCTGCACTGGCACTGCTGGTGCTGCTGCACTGGGGGGTGTTTTGGGGTCACAGAAGGGATCCAAGCCCAGTTTTGGGGTGCAGGGCTCATCCAGGAGGATCAGCACTGGGATAAGGGAGTTCTTGGTGCAGGGTGAGGGGTCACTGAGGGGGGATGACGTTGCCTGAGCACCCCTCTCTGCACCTCCCTGGGCCGTGGGGTGCACTCTTCCCTMGCCAGGTCCCCTCCTCACCCCCTGCCCGGCTTTGTCCCCGCAGTGACATGCCCCCAAAACCCAGGGGGCATTGGGGGTGGCGGGGGAAAACGCTCCACCCCAAAAAAACCCACGAGGCACGAGAGCCACGCTCAGATCTTACCACCACGAACAGCCCTGCTCCAACTGTGCCTGCAACTCCCGAGCTTCCAGGGCCGGATCCTGAGCGGGTGGAGGCTGGCGAAGCTCCACACCCAAACCACCCGGGGCTGCACCAGCGGGAGAGCCTGGAGCCCGAGGGAAAACCGCGCTGGAAAAAGCGAGCCTTGCATCACCGGCCAGGCATCGCGGCTCGGCTCCTCATCGTCGCGATGCCAGTTTGGCCGGGAGGAAGGAGAGCCGCGACCTGATGCTAATGTTTCATCCGTTCGACTTTCATCCCGCCGKGAAGAGCTCCGTGCACCCGAGCGCGGCCGTTCCCGGGGTGGGAGGAGGTGGCCAAGCAGACAAATGGGTTGTTTCTGGGGAAGGAAGAGATCTTTTAGCCAGCAACACCCGCCCAAAGCTGTCTGCTCTCTAAATATGCCTTTGGATTTTTAATGTCCATGGGAGGAAAAAAAAAAAAAAAAAAAAAAAAGGGAAAAAGAGAGGAAATGGAAAGAGCTGGATGAAAAAGGGCCTGTTTGGAGCAAGAAGGAGTCATTTCTGCAGGGAACTCCTGCCAGGCTGAAGGCATCTCGGAGAACATCCAGGAGAAGGATGGAGTGAAGAGCAGGACCTGAGAGACCTCAAGGAGGATTAGCTCCAACCCAGAAAGCCACAGCCCTTGGGTGGCTCCTGAGGACACGGTGAGGGGTCTCTGGATCCCCCCTAATGGCCTCTCCCCCTGAGCAGCACAGCACCCTGAGCCTGGCCCATGGTCCAGCGCATCAGTCACATTCCCAGAGGTAGAGAGAACAACAGCAGAGCACAGGACGCTCAGAGGGGCCTCAGGAGAGCCTGGGGACACRCTCTGGGGACACGCTGGGATCCTCCTGCCCACAGAGGGACAGAGGAGGGGGCTGGAGTGACTCCCAGCTTAGGGAGAGACAATCCTGGTTTGGTGTAGAAATGGCTAAACTGGCCTCTCCAGGTCCTTCCAACCCAGAATTCCATTAATGAAGGATGTGCCGTCCTCAGGAACACYTGGATGCTCCACACAAGGTCTCTGCTCTCTCCCCATCGTGTTTTTGGTGCGGCAGATCTGCCTCTGCTCTGTGCGTGGTGGCACCCACAGAACCCYCTCCCCATGCTGGGAGCCCCAAGAAGCCTTTCTAGACTCTCTGCTGGAGGTGAATCTTCCCAAAAAAAAAGCTGTCACAAGACACGAGCGAGGTTTGTCCCTGCTCTCCACCTCTGCCGGGTGAAGTTTTTAGCTAAAATGACTCCTTTTATCTACTGACAGAGTTTGCAGCCCCATCCCAGCACGAGCTCAGCCTGGAAGGGGAGCTCACCCATCCGCGGGCAGGGGCGGCTCTGTCCCCGTGCTCTGTCCCCGTGCTCTGTCACACAGTGCCACCTTGTGTCCTGCGCACCGGCTGGAGCGGCGAAAACACGGGCGGCGGAGCGTGACGGGGTCTGCGCAGTATCTGGCTCCATCCACGGCAGCGCTGATGCAATTTCKCTCCGTAAAAGCAATTTAGGAGCGGGAGGGGGCTGGGCTGGAGCAGGGACAAGTGGTGGGGATTTGGAATGAGCGGGAGCGGTTCGTGAGCTGGCGCCGTGCCTCAGTTTCCCCGTCTTGAAGCGTCGGGATGTCCTTTTCCTCTCCAAAATGCTCAGGGGATCAYGGCAGATGTTTCCGCGGCAGCTCCACCTCGTGTCCGTGCCCACCTCGTGCCCGTGGCCTGGTCCGGGGTTGGTTTGAGATGGGACACCCAAAACCCACCCCCACATCCGACAGTAACATCCTTCACCTCCCACCAGCCTCTGAAACCTCTCTCCCTCACTGTCACAGGAAATTCAATATTTATAGGGTTTTAAAAATAGAATATTTGGCTTAAATTCCACATTTGGACCCGTTTCTGTGTCTTTTTTTCACAGCCCCCAGAATCGCCCTCTCCAGTTTGTTTCTCTCCCCTGTTCTCAGGAAGCCCCCGGCGCTGGGATTTTCTGGCCCCTCCAGACCCTCCCCGAGCCCCGGGGAGCACAGGATGGGCTGAGCCCGGCAGGTTCTGTGTGGCTCCACACCTGGATCAAATCGAGCACTTGGCATYGCCCTGAGCTGGGATCTCCATCCCTGAACCCCCAGAACGGGGGGTCCGAGCTGCCCTGCATGTCCCTGCTCACCACTCCTGGGGGATGGCCTGCCCTGGGTCCCCTGGGCACAGATAAYCCTGTGCCACCTCGTGTCCCCTCCCTGGGCAGCGCTGCCCCTCCAGCCAAGTCACTCCTGTCCCAATTCTGCACCAACATCTCCAGATGGTGCCCAAAATCCCCTCCCTGTTCCCCCACCGCTGCCACTGGTGGGACAGTGGGAGACACAATCCAGTTTTGGTGTAGAAATGGCCAAACCGACCTCTCCAAGTCCTTCCAACCCAGAATCCTGTTAATTCAGGAAAGCTACGTTGTCCTGGATGCTCCAAGCAAGGTCTCTGCCCTCTCCCCATCACAATTTTGGGTGAGTTTTGCCAGATCTGTTCATGGCCGTGGCATCCCCAGTGCTGGGGGGTCTCACCTGGATCCATCCATCCTGATTCCTTCCCCCTTCCTGCTCCCTGAAGCAGCCCTGGAGAAGCCAAGCGAGCTACCAGCRATGGGAGGGAAGAGTCAGCCCCGCTCCCCAGCTCACCTGAGCTAATTCCCAGCAGCTGAAATCATCTGGGATCGCTGGAAACCCTTATCCTTCTGCAGGGAGTTTCTCCCCATTCCCMGTACCCCCTGCACTTGGGRAAAGCCACCAGCACCGTTAGAAGGTCATTGTGCCGAGGAACAGCGGCTGTATCTCACCAGTCCCTGAGCCCTGGAAAGCMTGGGTGTACTGGTTTAACTGGTCCAGGAGGGAAAAGAACCTCCACAACGCTCCTGAAGTTCCTACAGAGAGCTTGTCCTGAGCAAGGCCCTTCCTCCGAGGAGAAAAGGATGAGGGGAGACAGAGGGACGGCAGTGGGGACAGGGAAGGGAAGGGAAGGGAAGGGAAGGGAAGGGAAGGGAAGGGAAGGGAAGGGAAGGGAAGGGAAGACCTCAACACCCGTGGGTGCCAACAATGCCTATTACATCACTGCCGCCCTAAAGAGGCCCCAATGCCCACCCAAGAAAGGAAACGGAGGCACAGAAGAGACTGGGTGAGGAGAGATTTGGTAAGAAGAGACTTTTAATCAGACTCCGATACAGCTCTTACAGGGTTTCTCTCGCTGGCCGAGGAGCCCGGCTGGCGCAGCCCGGCCTCGCCCCGCACGCGTGGGAGCTGCTCCGGCCACGGGGGACCGCGGACGCGTCGCTRCGAGGTCTGTGCTTTTACGGGAGGGGTTCGCCAGCGTTGTGCTTGTCCCAGGGGAAGCAGCCGCATCCCGCGTGTCCCCACGGCTGTGCCATTCCCGGCCCCGCTCCCCGCTCCTGCCAGCGACACCCACGCTCGGGAAGGGTGGGGGTCAGCAGAAGGCAGTGGGAGGTGCTCCTGGGAGGTGCTGGGGTGTGTTGTGACCTGCCAGGGTCTGGGTGGGAGCTGGGAGGGGAGGAAGGGGCTGTTTTGGAGGRATGGAGGGGAAGGAGCCATGGGGGACCAGGCTCCAGTCCTCCCCTCTGCCTTGCACCGGGGTCAAGGTCCCGTCCCATAGTTTGGTGCTGGGGGATGGTCATCCCAACTCCAGCCACACCGGCAACACAGGGGGTGCCCCTCCTGCCACCTCCTTTTTGCCCTCTCCAGACCCACTGAACCCTTCCCCAGAGAGGGGACAGGGTTTGGACCCCTCCTGACCTASCCAGCACCTCCTCATCCCCCAGCCAGGGACACCACCCTACTCTGGGCAGCAGGATCGGGGCTGGAAACCCCTCAAGGAGCTGATCTGGGGGACAGGGATATCGGCAGCAGTGCCCCCTCTTCGTCCCACTGCCCCAAGGAAAACTGAAAAGTGCCTGTGCTCACAACTAGCAGCTATTCCCTGTGCCTCTGTGCAGAAAAAGAGGGAAAGAAGTGATTTCTAGGGCTAAAAGCCACTGGGGGCCGGCCCGATCTGCAGCCCGGGACCCCGAGAAGGTGTGTGGAGGGAGAACCTGCCCCGGCGAGCGGGAGAAACCCCCACGCAGGCTCCGAAAGTGAGAGCGAGCAGAGCCAGAAGTGAATCCTAAAGCCACCCACGCCCACGGACACGCGCACACCCCACGCACGGCATCTACGCACGAACACGCGCACGCTCCCACGGCGACAACACGGAGCTGCTAAAACCTAACACGCACACGCACACACACACACACACTCCCCCGACACCCCGTGTCTAACACCGAGCAAATGCCACGACAAAATACAGTATTTCCACGGATAAAAGTAAAGGCGGCGTCCCTCTTCCTCCTTTTCCTCCTCCTCCTCCTCCTCCTCCTCCTCCTCCTCCTCCTCCTCTTCCTCTCTTGGACACCCCGGGGCTGGAGGGGGAGAAGGGGACGCGCACCCACCACGCACAAGAAATAAAAAGGTAAAAATATGCCCCGCTATCGAATGAGAATTGATCTGTACAGCACTGGGAATGAAAATAGGTCACGGGCCACTTTGGAATACGATTYGTCATTTAACAGCATTTACAGTGACATTTACAGAATAAATATACAATAGAAATAGAGAATCTCTAGGTTATTATTCCATCTCCTCTCTCTGTATATATTTTATATATATATATAATATAGCTTCTTTGTTGCCTCCTGACTGACTCTGACTCTTATTGGTGCTGCAAGAAGGAGGGAGGGCAGCRAGTGCCTCCCCGGCTGGTTTGGGAATGGGAGTGGGAGAGACTGAGGGCTGGATCCTTCCCCCCGGGGTTCAAGGAGCATCACGCTGTAGGAGAAGATGTGACTGAGCAATTTTGGCTGGGGGAGGTGTCCTGCTCCGTTAACTCCATGGGAGCTACGGTGGGAACCCGGCCCCGGGCTCAGGGGC